TGTGCAACCGAAGTTCATGGGAGTTTTCTGCAAGAGTTTTTTGGGGTTTAGTGTGATTTTGAAAGTCATGGGGGCTTACTAGAAAACACAGAAAATTCATGGAGGGTTTAGTGTAGGTTAATTACTGTTTTATTTGGCTAAATATAAAATAAACTCTGAACTTTGCACAATTATCATATAACTGCCCATAATTTTTCAAGTCAGAGAGAGCCCCTTAGGTTTAGGGACTATCAGAAAAACCTCCTTTCACTATAAGATCTTCTCAAAATAACATGTCAAGAATGTGAACCCTAACCCTAATTTTTACTGTTGAAAAATGTCTCTCTATGTAATTTTACTCATCCATGTAAAAAATTGCAATGGATGTTGTGAAAGGGGGTTTCTTGATCAAATCCAAGTTAAGGAGGATTTTCTGATGTTTAGTCATTTTATTGGTTCTTTTATTGTATTAGACCCTCGACCCTTTGTAAATTTTATTTTGAGTCCTTTAACCTTCACACTGCTAATATTCATCTAGACCTATTTAAGTTACTTTGATATGCAAACAACACTTTCAAATATATGAATCCCAAGAATGAGCCGTATTTTGATTACAACTATGAACAAAAAATAGGTAAGAGAATGTTATTTGGGAAAAATGTGTCCAGGCCCCAAAAACAGAAACTTCATGTGCTACAACCCCTTCTAGTTTTCCCCATGTGGTTCAGCCCCTTGAAGTGTGATATTTTGTGCTGCAGCCCCTTTTAACAATTATTACATGTCAGCTAAGCTAAAATCCCCAAAATAACATTATCCCCTCTTCTCAATCCTTCAAACCCAGTTCTCTCTCTCTCTCTCTCTCTCTCTCTCTCTCTCTAAAAACAAGGGCTTTCTCAAGCTCGTCGCTCTGGCCCTCGCCCTCCTCGCCGTCGTCACCTCCGCCCAGGCTCCCAAGCCTCCCCCGAGTTCGCCGCCGCCTCCCCTCCTCTCCTCCGCCCGACCTCGTCGCGGTAGCTCGCCGTCGCTCCCCTTCTCGCCCTCGACTACGCCGGAGTTCGCCGCTGCGCCTGCCACTTTTAAACCCTATAGTATGGTAGGCCGGAGGAGGATGACCAAGAGAAAAGAGTGGATGATGCCCAAGAAAAATGAAAATGAAGGGGCTGCAGGCACAAGGAAAAAGGTCTAATTTATAAATTATTATTCATCAAGTGACCTTAACATTCCAACTTTTATAAATTAGAACTAACGTGGTATAAATTAGAACTAACGTGGTTAAAGTTAGAACTAATATGGTTAAAATTAGAACTAACGTGGTATAAAATAGAACTAACTTGGTATAAAATAGAACTAACATTGTATAAATTAGAACTAACTTGGTATAAATTAGAACTAATGTGGTATAATTTAGAACTAACGTGGTTAAAATTAGAACTAATTTGTTATAAATTAGAACTAACTTGTTATATATTAGAACTAATATGATTAAAATTAGAACTAACGTGGTATAAAATAGAACTAACTTGGTATAAATTAGAACTAACGCGGTATAAATTAGAACTAACACGCTACAGAATAGAACTAACACTGTGCAGATTAGAACTAATTTATACCGCGTTAGTTCTAATTTATACCAAGTTAGTTCTATTTTATACCACGTTAGTTCTAATTTTAACCATATTAGTTCTAATTTATAACAAGTTAGTTCTAATTTATAACAAATTAGTTCTAATTTTAACCACATTAGTTCTAATTTTAACCACATTAGTTCTAATTTATACCACATTAGTTCTAATTTATACCAAGTTAGTTCTAATTTATACAATGTTAGTTCTATTTTATACAAAGTTAGTTCTATTTTATACCATGTTAGTTCTAATTTTAACCATATTAGTTCTAATTTTAACCACGTTAGTTCTAATTTATACAACGTTAGTTCTAATTTATGAAAGTTGGAATGTTAAGGTCACTTGATGAATAATAATTTATAAATTAGACCTTTTTTCCTTGTGCCTGCAGCCCCTTCATTTTCATTTTTCTTGAGCATCATGCACTCTTTTCTCTTGGTCATCCTCCTCCGGCCTACCATACTATAGGGTTTAAAAGTGGCAGGCGCAGCGGCGAACTCCGGCGTAGTCGAGGGCGACGAGGTCGAGCGGAGGAGAGGAGGGGAGGCGGCGGCGAACTCGGGGGAGGCTTGGGAGCCTGGACGGAGGTGGCGACGGGGGAGGCGGCGGCGAACTCGGGGGAGGCTTGGGAGCCTGGACGGAGGTGGCGACGGCGAGGAGGGCGAGGGCCAGAGTGACGAGCTTGAGAAAGCCCTTGTTTTTAAAGAGAGAGAGAGAGAGAGAGAGAGAGAGAGAGAGAGAGAGAGAGAGAACTGGGTTTGAAGGATTGAGAAGAGGGGATAAGGTTATTTTAGAGATTTTAGCTTAGCTGGCATGTAATAATTGTTAAAAAGAGGCTGCAACACAAAATATCACACTTCAAGGGGCTGAACCACATGAGAAAACTAGGAGGGGCTGCAGCACATGAAGTTTCTGTTTTTGGGGCCTGGACACATTTTTCCCATGTTATTTAGATGACTTAACTGATTTGGGGTTGTAAATTTAGAAATATAAATATTTGAGAGCTTAATATAAAACTAAGAAATACCTCAGCATCTAATACTAGAAAAAACACTTTTATTTATATTTTAACAAAGGAATATTGGTTTGAATTATGTTGTTAAATAATACTAAAAATTTTGACATAAAATTGAGAAATTTCATGAGCTAGGAAGCATAAACTGGAACATCCGACCAGATACTTTTTCATATAATCTCAAGAGGAACAAAAATATAAAATTGGTAAACACTATTCGCAGCAACAAGCTTTGAGTTAACTTAAAATAAAATCTGAGTTATTTACATTATGCTGGTAATTAAACTTACTGATTTTAGCTAGAGAGAATAGCTTGAGTAAACAATAATTTGATATGACCAAAAAATTGAAATCTCTCTCTCTCTCTCTTACAGTTTAATTATTTGCAAATCATGAATATGGGGATTCGGTGACAAGGGGCGAAAGTTCAAGGGGGTTCTGCGAGACACATCAAAATTCAGGGGGGGTTATGTAAGGTAAGCAAATATCAAGAGAGGTTCTTTAGAGAACACCGAAAAGATCAGGGGGTTATTAATAGTACAAGTCCCAAGCATCCAACCCGTTTTCGTTTGTTCTTAAACCCGGATCCGACCCGTTAAGCTCCTCAGCCCTAGCTTCACTTCCCTCCTCTCCTCTCTCCAAAAACCCCGATCCGAAATCCTAATCCCTTCTCCCTCGATCAGAACTCGGAACTCGAAACTCGAAACCCTAGATCGACGAACGCACACCGGAAGCGAAAATGTCGATCCGAGTCTTAAACCCTAACGCCGAGGTCCTCAACAAGTCCTCGGCGTTGCACATGAACATCAACGCCGCCAGAGGCCTCCAAGATGTGCTCAAGACCAACCTTGGCCCTAAAGGAACCATCAAGATGTAATCTTTTTCTCTCTTTTTTTCAGTATTTTTTCCCTCTTTTCTTCTTGTTTTTTATCTTTGTTTTGGTAGGCTTGTTGGTGGAGCGGGGGATATTAAGATAACCAAGGATGGGAACACGCTGCTGAAGGAAATGGTAGTGGATCTTTGAAACCCTAGTGTTTTGATCTTGTTGAATTTGTGAGAGTCAGTTTGGAGTGTTCTTTTTCTTGGCAGCAAATACAAAATCCGACGGCGATTATGATCGCGAGGACGGCGGTGGCTCAGGACGACACGAGCGGGGATGGGACGACGTCGACTGTGTTGTTTATTGGGGAGTTGATGAAGCAGTCGGAGCGGTGCATCGGTGAAGGTTTGTGATGCGTTAAAATTTTAGCTTTAGTTTAAATAGTGCAATTTCAGTTGATGTGCTTATCATATATTTTAGGAAAATTATTAAAAATTTAAAGCTGTCTAGTTAAGCCCTTAGGATTTATCTTTATCACAAGGTGATTGTTAGTGGTATTGAGATACATGCACACAAACATGCGGTTCAATGGGTCAAAACTAAAAAGTATATTAGATAGAAGAAATGAACGTGTTTGCTTGTTGGTCCTTCAAGAGCTCATTCGTTGTGAGCACTGTCTAGTATCAGTCAACTGATATGCATCTTTGCTTTGGGACTTCAGTGTGATGGTACTTGAACTAATCACCCAATCTTTGATGTATACAAGGATGCTTCTTGAGTTTGTGATTAAACAATTGTCCCATTTTTCTTTACTTCGGTTTCAGTATTACACACAAGCACCTACGGAAAATTCCACAATGGATCACAGGATTGAAACAATCGTTATGTTATTGTTTCATTTGAAAAAATGTTTCAGAGCTTCTTATAAACATGATGGACTGCGGATCAATACGTTTAGATAATGGTATCTATAATTCTTAGGACACTGCAGGGTGGAAAAGCATTTAAGTGGAAAAGGTGAGGTGTTAAAGTAGATCCACAATGGCTGATGGGTAAAGTACAAAGGGTGAAAAGAAAGGACACCTATCAAAGTTTCATACTGTTGATGCAATACAAGTGCTAGAGATTTCATGTATGGACTTGGCTCAACCTATTTCTTTTGTTTGGATTAACTGTGTTTTTTTAATACAATAGATTGGGTTGCTTGAAAGTAGAAGTGCGCAAATAACAGGTTAATTCGAAATTGCCCCTTTACTGGAGTTTTTGGCTTTATAAATGGAAATATTCTTACCCATACATTGTTTTCATCGTTTTCCTGACAAGGAATAACACTTCCTAAACACAAGGAACTTCGAGACATCATTTACCCATTATTCAAATTATGATTTAGTCTTTTAATTGTTACCATCATCTTCTACCCTCAACATTTTCTTCTTTCAGGTTACATATAGAGCCGCACTTTCCTTGCTGAGAACTCCGTTTTAATTTATATGTACCAATACTTTGTATTAAAATAATTATCAACATAAGGCCTACAGCTTTGCTTAGTAACTTATAAGTCCTCTTTCATTTAAAATCAATTTCTTTACATGTGTATACTCGCTTTTGTTAAATAAATGATGAACATTTTTTCCAAAAGGAGAGCATGTAATTACATATTTCCTAAAAATGACATTTTCCTATAAAAACAAGCTTTTTTTTAGCTCAGGTGGGGAATAAAGCCTTGTTTAATCACAGTGCCATTGATCATTATTTCTTTGTTGCTTTGTTTGGTAAACTTATGCGGTGAAATTTGGTCCAGGGATGCATCCGCGGGTGTTGGTAGATGGATTTGATATAGCTAAAAGGGCAACTCTGGAATTCCTTGAGAGGTTTAAAACACCTGTTGTGATGGGTGATGCACCTGATAAAGAGATCTTGAAGATGGTTGCAAGAACAACTCTTAGAACGAAGGTATTTATTCTTCTCTTTTCTAGCATCATGATTTTTTTCCCTTTAGTATTTCCTTGCATCTATAATGTTAATTGATCAAGACTTTTTTTTCTTGCAGTTATATGAAACACTAGCTGACCAGTTGACAGATATTGTCGTTAATGCCGTAAGTGTAGATTTGAACTTATAATTATTATGAGCTCGTTTTCATAATTTTCTCATAAATTTCTCACAATTTCTATTAATGATGTGAACTTCCATTTTATCTTTGCATGAATAAGTATTTTTCCCCATGAGGCAATTCTTTGATTATTTTATGTCCTCATCTCTTATTATGTTACATGCTTTCACTAAACTGTATGGTTGTTTGTGTATCACACAATTATTTATCTTTATCTCAAATAAAGTGCATGTTTTATATGGCCAGGTGCTCTGTATCCGCAAGCATGATGAACCAATTGATTTGTTTATGGTGGAGATAATGCACATGCGACACAAGTTTGATGTTGATACAAGATTGGTACGAGTTTCCTTCTCTTATTCTTTTATGTTTCCGCTATATAACTGCCTAACTGGATTAAAAGAAGTTGTGTTCTTATTACATTCATTGCACAAGCATATTCACATCCTTGCAAAATTTTAGCTTGTAGTCGAGTCTTATAAAGAGAGAATTTTTTGGTTGAAAATTTTCACACTGCTACTATGCAGGCTGCAGAACCAATTTTGGCCCCATCAATCTAAGAAAGTTTGAAAAGTTTGGAGGAGGTAGTTTTGGAAGAGTTCTATGTCATTTCTTTATTGTTTATAGTTAATTATTTATACATAGTGTTTTCTTTGGGGACTTGGGTAGATGATAAAGGTGTGGGTACCATTTGGAAATGGTTTGTAATAAAAAAAAGTTGCTAAACACTGAAGCTTGCCTGGGTTTAGGAGTTTAATCTTCTACGTAAGTTTGGTGGATCAGCTGATACTTAAATGTATCATTCATACTGTATCAGATGTTAGGCAAGCTGATTTAATCTTGCAAAAGCATTCGATACTACTAATATTTGCTAACAACAACTAAAACAGGCTAACTTAGCTAATAATGACTAAAAGAGGCTGATTTAGCTAATAACCACCAGTATAGGCTGATATTGGTTGAAACCGGCACATGTTACTTGCAAGTTTACATGTAGCCTTAACTACTCTGCTTGTTGTTTTTCTTTTTCTTTTTCTTTTTCCTTCCTGCACGTGGTTAATTAGTAATCTTAGTCTATCTGTTTGTTGTCTTGCTTCTTCTAAAGTAGATGTGTTTTTCGTGAAGGTTGAAGGTCTTGTCCTTGACCATGGTTCTCGACACCCAGATATGAAGCGCAGGGTGGAAAATTGTTATATCTTGACATGCAATGTATCTCTGGAATACGATAAAAGGTACCTAGAATTAATTTGATTCCTTAATCTATGGATGCATCGATCAAAATGTTAAGCAATTAAAAACAACATGTGCAAAAAATGAGTGTAGCACAAATGAGAATGTGGTCTTGTGGGTATACACTATAAGATAGAATGTGAAATGAGTGTATTGTAGTAAAATAGAAGTTGCTTCTATTGAGGATAAAATGAGAGAGAATCGATTAAATGAGAGAATCGACTAAGGTGGTTCAGACACGTAAAATGGAGATCTTTTAGTGCATTGGTTAGGAAAAGTGATAATATTACAGTTAAATGGGCAAATAGATCTATAGGTAGACCTAAGAGAACTTGGTTGGAAATAATTAAGAAGGATCTAATAATGGTTAACTTAAAAGAGGAGATGACCCATAATAGAAAGGAAGGTAAAGTAGGATTCATGTAGCCGACCCCAAATATTTGGGATAAAGGCTTTGTTCTTATTGTTGTAATCTATGAATGCATGGAAAAAAATTACAGTCATGTCATATATCAAAGCATTGTTTGCATTGGTCACTAACTCATAGTTAATTTAAATAATTAATTAAGATTTATGTTTGATCTTCTCCTGTTTGTTGATTATTTGTTTGATTTCATTTCTTTCACATGCTTACAAGTAAAATGTCATATGTAGGAGGTTGTTTGAAATATTATTATTAAACTGTTTGCCCTATGGAGTATAAAATGAGAGAATTCATTGAGATGCTTTGTTCATGTGCAAAGGAGTCAACTAAATGCACCAATTAGGAGATTTGATAAGATCATAAGTTAATGTGGCAAAGAGGACTAGAGTTTGACCTAAGAGAACTTTGTTGGAATCTATTGAGAAGGATATTGTATTATACTATTAGTTAGTGTAGAGATGAAGCCTTTGTCAGTTGTCACTTCTCTTTCTATTTGCATGATGATTGTTTGGTATATCCCCAAGCGGACATTGATAAGGCCTCAGCAGCCATACTCTTGAGCACACTAAACAGATCATGAACTTTTGTCAAGAAACAACCATTTTTCGATTATGGACTGTTGAAGATCCAACCTGATGAAAATCTTTATTTTCTAACTGAAGGTTGGCATCCTAGTTTGGTTTCGACCTACCTATTTCAGATTGCCTTTTCTGGTAGCTATGATGTTTTCAGCCTGAATCCTTACATTGATATTTAACAAGTAATATTATATTAAGAAATTCAAGTGTAACAGAAAGATAATAGAAACTTGCATGTATAATGAGCTTACTCTACTCATCCCATTTTTCAGGCCTATTATTGTTACTGTTATCCCTATTATGCTGTGTCGGAGTTTTCCTATTTTTGTTTTTTCTTTATTTTCTTCTTGGCGTGCACATTTTTTTGGTGCATACATGTGATTTTATTTTTAGTTTTGTTTTTTTGGGGTGTGTGTTTTGTTGTTTTTTTGTTGGGGGTGCTTATTGCTTTTTTTGTTTTATTATTATTATTATTTGGGGGGGGCATGATTGACATGCAACTGAACTATCATAGGAAGGCTTAAGGTTGTTTTAGTTTTAACCCCTAGTTTTGACCTTTAGTTTATTCTGGTTATACATCTATGTCTATTACTGCATCTAAGCGGTTATTTCAACTCTATACTGTTCCAATATCAGCTATTGCAAACTTTTCCATCTTTTAAAGAGTTATGCTCCTCTATGCAACTGGTGTAAGAAGCGGTCTTTGAATTTTGTTTAGGATGTTTGTTAACTACCTTCTCTGTTTGTATCCACTAATAAACCTTTTATTTCAGTGAAATAAATGCAGGGTTTTTCTATTCCAATGCTGAGCAGCGAGAAAATATGGTTGCTGCTGAAAGGCGCCAAGTTGACGAGAGAGTTCAAAAGATTATTGAACTTAAAAACAAGGTTTGGAGTATGTTTCATTTTACCGTGTTAAGCAAGTATTTCCTATTCACTTGTTCACATTTAATTTTTTTTGTTGTAGGTTTGCTCTGGCACTGACAAAAACTTCGTTGTGATCAATCAAAAGGGAATTGATCCTCCATCATTGGACCTTCTCGCAAGAGCAGGGGTTAGTGTTGCTATCATGTGATTTTCTCTTATATCGTATGCTGCTATCAAATTTTCATTTGTATTTGTAGCTTTTGACATGTTGACATATGAATCTTGGAGCTTCTTCCCCTAAAGGACATTAAAATCTGGAGCTGATAAGAAAATATCTTATCTAAACCCGAACTATAACGTGACAAGGACCATAATATCTGAATCTTGTTTGAACCCGAAAAGAAAAATTGGCTCTGAATTCAGATTCATATTCTTCTTTAGGGCATTTAAATCTAATATTTGGTTTAAATTTAAGTTTCACGTTTTCAATTTAAAATGTGGGTACAATAGAATTTGAATTTTTTTCTTTCCAAAAGATCAACTATATTTGACTTACATGTTTTGCAGAAAAATAGAGTGTCACTCACACTTGGTATACTATTGTACACAATGTTTTAAATATAAGTCGATTTTTTCGATTTATCCCCGATATATAGGGTTTGGGCTATGGTCGATACGATTTTTGTAAAAATATATCGCATATAGTTTTGAGCCGATTTTTCCCGATATATTGGTGTAAATCCTATAAATCGGCCGATTTTTCGTGGGCTAAAATCACCCGATTTTTCTACAATTTACATTCTAAGTGAACTGTTTCGCGTTTGGAGACAAGAAACCTCTTTTTTCCATATTCGACCCACATACACTAAACAAAACAATACTATCATATTCTATTTCGCTTCCACTAAACAAAAACAATTGGTAAGTGATCTTAAACATGTGTTATTTACATACTAGTATGTTTATGTTTTATTAAATGTGCTTAGATTACTTTTTAAGACATTATATTATATATGCTCACCATCCGATGTAACACTCCGATTTTTACTACTTATGCCCGATATATCCCGATAACTAGGATCCAATATGAATTTTGGTCATCCAATATATTTCCGATAACCGATATTTAAAACATTGATTGTACATAATATGGGCCAGGAAAATTTCAAATCCAGATCCAGTGTTTTAGATTCAATTTGTTCAGCCTGAATCTGATTTTGGTCCAGAAATTTCAGGTCCAACTCTATTTTATACCTAAAATCAGATCAGATTATCAGGTTAATTAGGAGGTTTCTTATGATCAGAGTTTAATCTTGTTCATTGACCAGCGAGCGGTCAAATATTTCAAGGATCAACTGCTAGTAGTCTTTCGGCTTTTACTAGCATTAGTGATAAACAAAATGGTTAGTTAACTGGGAAAGGTTCTCTAATTCTGTGGATTAACATAACAGGAAAGTGATCTCTGCACTTTCACAAATTATAGGGCATTTTCTAGCAATAAACAATTGATAATGGCCATCAAAGTTAATTTTTATAAAGTAGTCCATCCTTAAGGATTTGTTCTCTGTACCACCTATCACTCTTATGATAGTTCTTTTTTCCCCTTGTTAGCTTCAGTTAATTTGCTGCCATTCTGCTTGTATAAAAATGCTTCTATCTATTAATTATTAAAGACCCATTGAGATTTCATAGTCAAATAAGAACATCTGAGAAGTTTTTCATGCTTATATCTCTAAACGTATGTCAGTATTCTTATCTACAGATTTTGATTTGTTTGCAATTGTTTGCAATTTACAGATAGTTGCTCTCCGAAGAGCGAAGAGGAGAAATATGGAAAGATTAGTTCTAGCATGTGGTGGGGAGGCTGTGAATTCTGTTGAGGGTTTGACTGAAGATTCTCTTGGTTGGGCTGGACTTGTCTATGAGCATGTCCTCGGAGAAGAAAAGTATACCTTTGTGGAGAATGTGAAAAACCCGCATTCTTGCACAATCTTAATTAAAGGTGCTCTTAAATAATTTATCTTAATTATTTTTCTCCACACTTTCTGGATTTGAATCAAACTTCTCTATGTATAGGGAAAGCTCACTATATTTGCCGCCTTGTTAACTGCAGGACCAAATGATCATACAATTGCTCAAATCAAGGATGCTGTTCGTGATGGACTTAGATCCGTTAAGAATACAATTGAAGATGAGGCTGTGGTCCTGGTGAGAATTAGGTCATCCATTTTCTTTCTAAAAAGTAAACAGTATCAATATTTGCTATTCTTCTTTCAAGGTTATTTGTTTGGATTTCATTATAATGATATGTTTTCTACTTAAGCTCTCGTGTCTGTATAATTATTGTAATGAAATGCACCCTTATCTGTAGTTCTGTACCTTAAAACATTTAACAGTTTAAGCCTTTCAAAATTTTCTTCATTTTCTGTAGCAACTAGAAAAAAGCGGATTCCAAGAAAATAAAAATTAATAAATCTTTTAAAGAAAATGTTTGGACAATAAAACTGGGGAAGAACTTTTTTACAGAAATTTTAACATTTTCAGTAATGGCACTAATCATACTGCTTCCTTATAATTCATTTTGAGCTCCGATTCCTTGAAGCAAAGCTCCTTTCCTTTTTTATTATATAGGGTGCAGGGGCTTTTGAGGTTGCAGCCAGACAACATCTGATCACCAATGTGAAGAAAACTGTTCAAGGAGTAAGTCATACGTTCGAGTCCCTCTCAATTAATTTTTTTGCTTCTGAATCCTTAATTAAAAACAAGTTCTATCATCTACCAGCGTGCACAACTTGGTGTTGAAGCCTTTGCTGATGCGCTTCTTGTTGTGCCCAAGACTCTCGCAGAGAACTCAGGCCTCGATACACAAGACGTCATCATAGCTCTCACGGTAAATTTCTCTTGATTAATTACTTATACCATACTGTTCTCAACCAGTCAAGTGAATAAACAAAAAAAAAATTATTAGGGAGAGCACGATAGGGGAAATGTTGTGGGTTTGAACCAGCAAACAGGGGAGCCCATTGATCCACGCATGGAGGGCATCTTTGACAACTACTCAGTGAAGCGCCAAATTATAAACTCAGGGTATGTAAATGTTTTAACATTTCATAACTTCATCAAAATTTTGTTACTTATTGGGTAATTCTCCATACCCCCACCCAAACCAAAACCAAACCAAAAGAAAAAGTAAGTAACACCCCTCGCCCCAAAGGGCCTAAACAAAGAAGTTTGTCCCATTTTGAGATGACCTCCAATTTTTTTGTTTTTCCGTTTTTCTGAATATATTTCCAAAAAAAAGGAAGAACCCCTCGCCCCCAAGGGCCCAAACAAAGAAGTTTGACCCATTTTTAGATGACCTCCTAAATTTTTTTCGTTTTTCTGAATATATTTTCAGATTACCTTTGTGGGTTAAAGCGTCATTTCCAATTTTTTTGGGGTTTATCTCAAAGTGGGCTAGATTTTTTTGGATATTTGTGAAATTTACCTTCACTTATTTGGTGGACCTTGCAATTTGTAACTGCCTGTTATTACATGCACTGCAGGCCAGTTATTGCCTCCCAATTGCTGTTGGTGGATGAAGTGATCCGAGCTGGTCGCAACATGAGGAAACCGAGTTAAATCACTTTTTGCAGCAAATCAATAGTTTCGTTACCTCTCGGTTTGATATGGTGTGTTCTTAATTTTGTCGTTAGGACAAAATCTTTCCCAATGTATTTGCACACCTTTGAAAATTTTATCTAGTGCTTCATGAAGATGAATTGAAAGTATCATGTGCTTCTTCAATGAGATTTGTGTTCATCAAACCAACAGGGCCTTACTGCTCAGTAGTGCTTGTTGGCTGTGGCATTTGATTTTATGATTGTTGAACTTTTAAATGTGATCATATGGTGTCATGTAAAAACCCTGCCATAGGAGGAAAAAACGTTTTTGTTTTTACTACGTGGGGGCTTTATTGATATAATTTCTTTGTAATGGGATGATGGTTTCAATATGCGAACAACGTGCTTATTTTGTATCCATATCCTTATCTACAAAAAATTCAGATGCAACAACACTGACATCGTTTTTGTTCTAGGCTCTCTTGCTGTTATCCAAAATCTGCGTGGACGTGGCATTTTTAGATGGTATTTACAGCATTTTCAGATGGTGTTTAATTGTGAATATAAGAGTACATTTTACCCCCTGACAATTGTACATTTTTAGATGGTATTGCTGAACTCTCACATCCGTTAAAGTATCAATTTACCTATTTTGCCCTCAAACTATGTTTATGTTTTCAATGAGGTCATTTTGTGAGTCTACAATCAAATATTTAACAATTTTATAACGAAAAATATTTTTTTGCATTTCTTCATGGGCTATTATATCAGTTTATCACTCTTTTCCTAACTAAAAGAATATTTTTTAATTATTTTCTCCCAAAACATTTTACCCTTTAACTATTATTATGAATTAAAAAAAATCATTTTTAAGATTGCAGAAAATACCATAAATGTAAAAAAAATACTATCATGTAATTAATATGTTAAATATTTGGTTGTAAGCTCACAAAATGATCACATTGAGCATAAATTAATATTTTACGGGGCAACTTGAGAGTTCACCAATACTTTAACCTGGAAATGATTATTTTGTCCTAAATTAAAACACACCGAAATAAGCTTGCTCTTCTCTCTGTATTTATGTACGGAAAATTTGTGTCAATGCCCCAAAGATGTATGTGGCCCAGTCCCACATAATTATTTTCCATATTGTTTAGCTGGATAAACCCAACCCAAAATGTGGCTTAGCCCCAAAAGCTTAAATTCGGAGAGAGAGGAAGGCTAGCAGTGAAGGATCGCATTAAATATGACACGATGGTGAAATTGGAGGGGTAAAAAGGGGGATTTCCCTCCATCAATCGTCTCTCTAACATTTTATCATCTCATTTGTTATGTTATTCTCTTATTTATGGTGTTAGGATTTTTGTTCTTTAACATTCAACAATCCCCTTATGTCCTAAAATTCCCTCCATTATTCATCGTAGTTCCCCTCCATATTTGTGGTGAGAAAAAAATCTCATTTGCATGGTGTCCTTGGGTGAAAAAGCCATATTCTCGATGGTAACTTCTTCAACAACCTTTTTTGAACTGAAATCGATGTGGCTGATATGTTAAAAGTCCCACAAGATGATTTATATAAATATAAAAGGAACCCAATCTAAGTTTTGTGATTGAGAAGAAAATAATTTGAGGCGTATGGTGGAGTATAATCCAAAATTGGTTGTTTGGAGATCCATATGCAAGCTATTGTTGATATAAAGGGTTCTATTCTTGTAAACACTGAGAAAGTTCCTCCTAAAATGTAAGCAATCGTTAAACTTAGGTTAAAATTGTGATTATTGTGATGCAAGCTTTGTGATTTTAGGTTTAACGTTACATACGATATTCACATGTTAACTACTGGTTGTCAAGCTTATCAGATATGTGTTAGCTATAATCGCTATGTGTTAACTATAGGCCTTAATTATTAAGTTCAGCAAATACTTATTAGGTTTAACGATTACATAATAACTTTAAGTCTTAGTAGTTAAGGTTGCTAGATAGCTGTTAGTTTTAGTAATCACATGTTAACTATAATTTTTTTTAATAATTTTAAGAAAAAAATATTATATTTGCTATTATTTTTTGTATTGATTTTTGTAATTTGTCTGGGTTTTAAATTTGTGCAGCAGTAATACTTCTTTGAACTCAGAATATAATTATACTACTCTCACTGGTACTTCTAGTTTAGGGAGGATTCCGAATGATTATTTGTCTGTGAGAATGCAATGAGATCAGATGACATTCTTAACAACATTTCCAACATTCCTCAAGTGTGGAGCACTATATTAACTGAAAAAGGGTCAGCAAATTGAAAGTATTGATGAATTAAGATTCGCTTTGCAATACTATGCTATAGCAAAAGATTTTGATTATGAACTTGCAAAGAATGAATCCAATTGTATCCGAATTATTTGTTGATATAAGGAAACATATAGTTGCCCTTGGATGTTGTTTGACTCTCCTATTAAAAACGAAATGAGACTTTCTATCAAGAAGTTTGTGAATGAACACACTTGTGGGCAACGTAGTAACACTACAGATCAATCAAGAGCATCTCGCAAATTTATAGCGACCCAATTGCAGCTTGTGTTGAATTTACGGCAAAAATCCACCCTATTGATATGCAAAAGTAGTTCCTTACGCAGTATAGACCGATGATTGATAATAGTAAGATATAGTGGGGGTAAAGAGAGAGCACAAGGGGAGCTATTCATATATCAAAACAACAGACTTGGGATGCCTTGTGCACTACTATTAGGGCACCAAATCTTTTCACATTGATATAGAATTTAAAGCAGCAGAAAGTCCTGAATATCATTCTCTGCATTTGATTCATAAGAGTTTCCAGTCACCATTCAAAATGCCTCCTCATGCTCTGTGTTGATTCTTTCTCTTTACCCTTTTCTAGCTTCTGATTTGCCCTTACACTTCACTTGTCCCCCTCCTGGAGGCCTAAATATCACATAATGCTCAAAATTGCAACCCTCATAGACATCCAGTGCTGCTGCTTCATCCTCGGTTCAAGCTGTTTTATGAAATTGTAATATGTACCAAAACTTGCTGTAGGCCTGATTTCAGTTGCAACTGCAATCTTTTTCCTGTAAACATTAGTCTTTAACAACTACTCATTGAAATTCTTAATATTCATTGGACGCTATTAACGTAAACGTAATAGTTATCGGTGAAACTTAACCACCAATGAATAGTGTTAATATCTAATGCTAAAACTTAACAAGTATGGTTTAAAGTTAATAATTGTTGACAATTATTTGTGGACCATGGTGTAGGTGTGTACCTACTTTTATTGTCGGATGCTTTATATGAATACTTTTATTGTTGGATGCTCTATATGGAAAAAAAAAAGAAGAAGAAGATAGATTGACTTTTAGTTTTAGATTAAAAAATATAGTAATTGGGGTCAATTTGTGTTGTCATGCCTCTGACCTGCCATATCTAAATACTTGCATTAGAGTTCAGTGACCTATTTAGATCATAACCAGCAACTTGAATGTGTACTTTCTCAGTAAAACTTCAGTCAATGACTTGTAAATATACATTGCTCGTATCAATAATGAAGGCATGAGGCTCAGCGATGTCCATCCTAGAATTTTGTATAGAGCATATACTTAATACATGAAAAGACACATTACGCGAATTTGTATATAAATTGTTTTGGTGCCTAGTCTTCTTTCTAAGAGAAATTTTTAATTTTTTTTATTACTAAGGGTAAGTAAGTATACAACCCAAATCCTTGAAGAATATAGTCCAAAGCCCCCCTCTTCTTTTCTAAGAAGAATTTAACTTTCTATTTTCGACAAAGAAGCCCATAATTTTTATCTATCTTTTCTTAGAAGCTCTTAAGTTTTTATTTTCTGACAAACATGCCCCTAGTTTTGCCTCACTCTTCCAAGAAACCCCCATCATTCTTTTTCTTGACAACGAAACCTTAAGTTAACAAGAAGACTTGATGGTTTCTTAGAAGAGAAGGTTAAAAGTTAAGGAGTTTTTAGAAGAATAGGGCGGAAAAAAATTATTGAGGACTTCTTAGAAAAGAGAGGTAAAACTTATAGTTTTTTTTTGTCAAAAATAAAAATATAGGGACTTCTTTAAAGAAGGGAGTGAGGGGATCTTTACACTATCTCCTCCAAATCCTTACATAAACAGGCGACCAATTTAGATTCTATTAACATTCTACAAGTAAAATGAGATGAAAATCATCATAAATATTTTTTCATCAAACTATTATAGTTAATGGATTTTAACTTAAACGGACATGCAATGTACATATGACAATTTACATGTTTTCATCCTTATTTAGTTTTTTCATGGAGACCCTCTTTAAAATAGAGTAATTCTATAGAAATTATGTTTGGTTTTTAATTTATATACAAATCACTTTAAAAGGTTTTTTTTATCGCAATCAACCACCTATATCCACTTTTTAATTAATTTTTTCGATAATTGATCCCACCTATCCTATTTATAGATAGAGGTTTGCTTCGGTGCTCCAAAAATAGAATTTTTTTTAATTTTTAAATTAACAAAAATAACAAATGAGTTAACATAACAAAAGGGTATTTTAGTCTTTCAAATTATCTTTCTACCTGCTTTCTCTATATCCTAAACCGCTAAACGCAACGAAAGAAGAAAATTCACCAAGGGGATTACCGCCTTTGCTCCGCCACACAAAAAGAAAAAAAAAGAAAAGAAATCAAAGAGAGAAGGAAGAAGCCGAGTTAACGATCTCATGTGGGGTGATATATTTTCAAAATTCTATGTATTTTATATGATAACTATCATAACTTCGTAAAACACCCAATATATGTAAGTCACAAGTAATAAGAATTACAGGCCAGTGAGTTGGAGAAAGGTTTGCTCTTTCAGCATAGTTAAGTTGTCGACCCTTTAGTGGTTTATGAAAATGAAGCATTTGAATTGGGTGACTGTGAAGTTTTGAAATTGAGTTGTCGACCCTTTAGTGGTTTATGAAAATGAAGCATTTGAATTGGGTGACTGTGAAGTTTTGAAATTGAGTTTGTTACTTGAATTTAAATATGCAAAATGAAGCATTTGAATTGGGTGACTGTGAAGTTTTGAAATTGAGTTTGTTACTTGAATTTAAATATGCAAAGAAAAATTCCTCAAGGACCCAAAATATGGGACCAATAGGGGGGCAAGTGAGGTGTCAAACTCTTATTTAAAATTGAGTTTGTTAATGATGGCCAACTCATTATCCAATAGGAGGGGGACACCTCACTTGTCCCCCCTATTGATCCCATATTTTGGGTCACTGTAACAAAGCTCATATGCAAACCCATAGGTGAATATGGTCAAGAATACTTGGTTATATTAGTCTGTACATGTTATATTTGCGAGTAAATATTAAAAACCTAATACTGAGAGGGCTTCTGTTTGAAAGAAAGATAGGTCCAATAGAAGTAACGATGGAAAATGCGAAGCAATTAATATGGTGG